TTTTTAGTCTTTTTGATTAGAATCAAGCAACTCTTATGTAAACTGCTTTTTATTGATTGCCTATTCAGCCACAGGATGGGTGTGAGAGAAGCAAAATTCCACTTCAGTTTTTCAGTATTTACTTATAGAGTCAACTAGATTAAAGTTTTTTGTCATCATTGTTCATAAAAAATATTTTGTTCACAGTACTAAAAATGGTTTTCTTGTGCCCATCTTTGGCCATTAGGATTCTTCTGTCATCTTCATTCCATTTTTTAACGAAAAAAAAATCCCCCCACTTAAATCTTTGGAAGCTGTCTTTTCCTACCCCCATTCAATCATATCCATATTACTGAGAAGTTCTACAACCCTAAATGAGACCTTAACATGTCTGAAGCAAAAAATGTAAGGCAAATATATCTGAATCAATCCTTCTAGGCTAGTTTTTGGATAATTCAGGAATTCTATTTAACAAATTCCAGGTTCATGTTGAGGAGGATAAAGTTGAACTGAGGACAGGCTTTTATGAGTCTTTATCTGTTTTTTTTTCTAATGGGAATGTAAATAAACTAACTCCAGCAGTTAAATAAATATTTGAGCTATTAGTGCTATTCCTGTACACCTACTAAGAAAACTACCCAATCAAATTACAGCTGCAGATTTATCACAGTGCAGGCAGTATTTTGGAACACATTTCTTAGTATCAGTTGCTGAGGAACTTGAAGAGGAAAAGCTACTGACCCCCTGCTTTGTGGTAGGTTTCTCAGATGCCTATTTTTGGACACAGTTCTAAAAACCAAAAGAAATTATGCTGGGTTAGATTGGTGTGATTGAGCAGAGCTGCTGGTACAAGCGGGAGAGATTCTAAACTTGTAAATACAGGTAGTCCTTGACTTATGACTATTCATTTAATGCCTATTTGAAGTTATGATGGCACTGAAAAAAAGTGACTTATGACTGGTCTTTGCACATATGACTGTTGCAACATCCCCGTGATCAAAAATCAGGAGCTTGGCAACTGGCAAGTATTTACAATGGTGCCAGCATCCCGGGTTCATGTGATCATCATTTAGAAACTTCCCAGGGGGCTTCCGACAAGCAAATTCAATGGGGGGAAGCTGGATTCGCTTAACAACCATTTGATTTGCATAACGAGTGTGGTGATTCACTTAACAACCGCAGCAAAAAGATAGTAAAATTGGGTGCAATCCACTTAACAACTGCATTGCTTAGTGATGAAAATTCCAAAATGTGGTCATAAGTTGAGGACTACTTTTCCAGGCTTTCCATGGCTGCAGGTGATTCTGCATAGCTTGTTTGCTCCTCAGGGGGGAAAAAAAACCAAATAAAAGAAGCCATTTTCCAAAGTATTCAAGCAAGCTGAAAAAAAATGGCTGCTGTAACAAGATAGGAACTTCATACATATGAGGATTCCAAACTGGTAACTGAACTCTTTGAAAACTAGGTTATGTAAAATATCTTCTTTCGTTGTTCTGATGATTAAAGTAATCAATATGATTTGTTCCTGGCTGACCGTCTATGGAATTTGGTAGCAACATGAGCCCAGGAGAATAAATGCTGGAGGTAAGTATGTGGTAATAGGGTGCAACAAGGTGCTTTGGAGCAGGCATGGGTATGCTATTAGGACTTTAACTCAAATGCGTATTTAATTGCAATGATGTACCCTCACCCCCACCCCTACTCTGTGAGCCCAGGAAAAAAAGCAACTTTTTAAAGGAGGTACTAACAAGTATGGTATGTGTACTCATGCACACTCCAAAGTACCTTCTCTGCTTTGTAATTTAAGTGCTTTGCACCCCTACCTCCAGGGAATACTTGTGCCCTAGGCTAGACTCAGAATCTGAAAAAACATACCAGAAGAAAACAATGGCAAACTACTTCTGCATTCTTACCAAGAAATGTCTATCAAATTACCAGGAGTTGAGTTCAACCCTAAGATCACTTTACTTGCTACTCTCACATTTCATCACTGACTTATATTATTTAATAGGATATACTTGTTAAAGGTTAAATGAACTGGGTTATGGGAAAATATTATGGGTGCGTGCATTGGATTTGGCTAAACTCCAGACTGCAAACAAAACAGAATAATTCAGATCAAAATGATGGTGCCCTAAGGTGGAGGAGATCAGTCTGAATCCATTTAGATTCTGGGCCTCTATGAAGTTTTGATGTTGATTTGTTCCTCCAGAACTTTGTGACACTTTTGTGATTTATGTAAAAGACCATGGTGGAAAGAGAAGGGGGTATCTGTGAGACGGGTATAGCATCAATAGATTAAAAAAGATGTGGTATCTGGGTCTTTAATTATCTTTCTGACCTATTTACAATATAATGAAAGATTACTTTCCATTCTAGTTCCTGGTATGCATTAAATAATGAGCTTCTGAAAGGCTGGAGCAACAGCTTTTTACTCAACACTTGATAACCAAGTGCCAAAAATATTTATACAACACCAAGCAATTCTACTTTCCAGAGAACAAAATAGATTTTTTTTTCCACAATACACATAGGGGAAAATGGTATGAGATAGCAGGGGGGAAAAAGATATCATCATTGTCAAATTATTGAGTGTTTTACAGAGCATCATTTTTCAAACAAGGTTTGGGATACTTTTGACAACAAATTTTAGACTTCTCTAAATTTATCATCACATCACAGCTGAAATAAATAATAAATGGAATCCTTCCATGTCATTCTTATTTGTTTTATACTTTAGAAATCTGTTTCCAAGCTTTTCTCTTTTAGCCAGATATCTGAAATATACTGCATATTTACCGTGATGCAGTGAGAGCAATGCAAGGATTAATTTCCATTCTAAATCACCAGAATTTAACCTGGGCAATAGCCCCAGCATACTGAGTGAAGCACAACATTTACTGTTCAGCACGATTCAAGGTCATGGCATAAGGATAGAAACTGTAGAACCTGACTAACAACTTTATTTTATAGCCCACAATCCATTCCAAGTCTAGTAGTTAGTAGTAGTTTCCCCTCCAATGTCACCCCATACAGAACATATGAATGAATTCTGATGGATACCAGGCATTGTACTTATAGGGAGGACCAGGAATGGCAATTTAATTTGCATTAAAAGAAATTATGAGTTCACCACACACACTATAAGCAATAGTTTGGACTGATGGTCACCAACTTTTCTTGAGAAGAGTTGCCTTTATTCAGTGGCAGCACCTACTTCTCCAAATCATTCCCCCTTTCTTCTATGGATACACCTAGAATGATGCTAAAAATAAATGTGGAGTTGGCCCTATGGAGCTCTTTATTATTTGAGGGTGGCAAAAAAACAGGAAAAAAATCCACACTCAAAATTCTGGACATAAATAAATCAATGCTATTAAGGGACAAGTAGATGGACATCTCAAATCAACTAGATGTACAACATTTCAGTATAAGAAATATAGCTATGGAGGAATGCTGGGTAGTTATCTTTCTATAATTGTTTGTTATATAATATAGAAAAATTAGCTATCTGGACAGAACTGAAAAGTCATATTTTAAATGTGCCATCAGATCCTTGGTATATTAGACCTGGGGTGGATAATCTACAGTCCATGGACTTCAGACAGTCCCAAATGCTTTTTATGCAATCTCCAAACCACCCAAGAAAATACTGCTGAAAATTTGGCAATAAAAACTGAGAATTGGCAGTAGAGTTCTTTCCCAATTTCTGCTGAGAAATTTTAAAAAGTTGTATAAAGATATACAGTATTGTAAAGATGATTAAATACAGTCCAAAAATAATCAAACCATGGCACTGATTATTATATTGAATTCCTAAACATTATTCTAAAACTACCTCTGTCACCATGATAGCATTAAGGAGAATATAGATAATCCATTCATTTACCCAAACTAGTAAAAATCATCAACAGAACTCAGTGGGAACAATCTAATCCATTCATTCTTTCTCATTTTATACCAAATAGTCATTGATGGACACCTGAATGGCGTAGCCTCCATCTGAATCAAAGAACCTGGGATTGCTGGCATTCCAGTGGACAGTGTGGCGGAGGCCCTGCACTTTCCAGGAGGGCACCCCAAAGCAAGAAGAGCCCCCAGGGCAGTGCCAGCAACACCCCAACCTGGCGCATCGTTCCAATGGGGGTTCAGCATTGGCAGTTCATTTTATACCACCTTTTTTGCTCAAGGTCACCAAGTCAGTGCTCTAAAAAAATTAAAACAGCAAAGCGCTGAAAGTAATGTAAAAGCTCTAGTAAAAAGATATGTATGATAAACTTTTAAAAGCTCAAAAGGTTAAAAACCAAAAGAATAAAAGCTTATCTTAGCTCTGAAGGCAGTGCATTAAAATAAAGATGATTCTGTTTATTTATTTTACGGGATTTGTATCCCGTAAAATAAATCATCAAATTACTCAGTCATGAAATTACTCAAGGTGACATATAGGTTGAGTTAAAACACAATAAAACAGTAAAAGAAGACCAAAAGAAAGTGCATCAGATAAAATAGATATGTTAAAATGCCTATCTAAAATACTAAAACCAATAGTGGAGTTATTTTAAAAAGAATTTTTAGGGCAGCTGATAATGATTTTCATTGCCCGTGCACCTGTACTCTTAATAACTCAGGATAGAGAGGCATTAGTAGGTAGAAATGCCTCTCTTTGTAAACTTTCTGCTGATTTCTGCAGATGAAGCTGTCTTTAAAAGCAAAGAGCAAGGCTAAAAGTCTTTTTCCATGCGGTTGCCACTTTACAAATCCTATCCCTTTAATACACCATTTAAATGCATTGAAGTTTAATTACCAAACTTTTTCTTGTTAACTAAAACCCCATTTCATCAATAAATAAACATATACTAAAATGAGTAGAAATCAAGCCATTTCATCATTCTTAAGCACCTATGAAAATAAATTAAAAGATAACTGTTAACCCAGCAAATGTTGATTAAGTATTTGACATTAAAGGGTATGTCAGGTAGACCATCTTTCATTAGTGGAGGGTGAAGTCTGCTATACTGTACCTTTTGTCTTTCCCAGAGTTGTGAAGAGGGCCTGTGCCCCAGGTGAGTGCATCAAGTCAATCTGGGGGGGTCAGCATACAGCCTGAAGAAATTCTTTGACCAATTTCTTGTCTTTTGGGCACTAGCCTGTCAGCTAGGAAGAGAGTTGTAGTCTGAAGCTCCTTTAACTTATGTCCTTCTGCAAATGTTAAGATCAGCTCTCCTTCAGTAGGAAATGAAGCAAGATGTTATTATGCATTGGCTAGATGCCAACAGCACCACCTCTACACAGGTGGAATTTCACTGCAATACTTAGATCATCCATTTTTGGGGTAATTTACAAATTTTTAATAAAACTTCTTTTTCAAACTAGACTGAGAGGTGGGATGGGAACTATCATCTTGTGGTATGGCTTCCTAGGTCAGAGGAGGTAGAGCTCAAAGATGCCAAACACGAGGGAACACCTAGAGTGGTTATACCGAGTCGCCCTCTGCAATGCTTCATCCAGAATCTGAGCTCTGATGAATCCTTAAGAGTACAATGTTCAGAATCCAGAATCAGGAGATGGAGAGAGGCAGAAGTTTGACTACATGGGAGTGAGTTGTTACTCATAAGTAATCTCTCTGACTGATTAGCCCTGATGAACAGCAATTGGTGTTGGGTGGTAACTTAACTTTGAAGTTAGATTTACAGAAGCCTTTAGGTGGGGCTGCTGGGGTATCTGGCTTTTGAGCTCCTGATTTTGAACTTCTGTTGATTCTTTCTTAACTCTCTCTAACTGAACATGCCCTGATAATCCTTGTTGATGTTGTATCTTCATGACATTGTCTTTTTCTCATCCCCAGCTGAAAAAGCTTAATGTTGTTTTTAACTGTTCTAATTTTAAAAGAGGGTTTTCTTCTTTCCCTGACCCAATTTTTACAATGGGCACAATCTAGAATGCTTCATCGATTATGTGGTTGCTGGTGTGATGAGTGATTGGGATTTCTCCAGCTCCTATTGACCATTAGGCTGCTGCAAGGGTGTCCCCTCCCCTCCAAGCACTGGGAACTGCCTTCCATGGCTATTAAGGCTTAGGTTTCAGGAGAGACTGAGCACCTGGCTTCCACAGATGCATCCACCTATGGAATACATTACAGGCATTTTCTGAAGTGCTTGCCAAGTCTCACCCAGGTCCCTTCTGAGAAAGGGCTAATCCTGCACTGTGCACATGGTTGGTTTAAGCCAGAAAAAAGAGGCAGGGTTAATTGTGTGTCACCAGTTCTAATACTAATAAATGTTCTACTTCTACAGACATGGGACTTCATGTGGACATACTTTGTACTGCTTTATTACTTTGGTGGTGGTGGACCATTTTGGCTATTCTTATGCCATTTTCATTACCAGACAACTTCTGATGCTGTCAGCCACAGCCATTCACTGCCAGCGCTGCAATTCCCTTGTAACTTGCTTATTATCAATTGCTCCCTGTTGTTTCATCTGTCCCCAGTGCTTGTGACCTGTCAGCTGGGCTATTTTTGGACACAGATTTAGCAATATTTCAGAATGGCACTAGACCCACACTCAGAAATAGCCTGACAAGTATTGGGAGTGGAGTATCTCTACTCCTGCACACTTAGTCAAACAGTGTGACAGTTTGCTAAACATGCTCTTCTAAGTACCTGCCTTATAAGGAGCCCTGCTGATGGTAGTTTTTTCTCCCAGCTGGTGAGGCTTGATGAGAAGGGAAATGAAGCTATGGAATCTACAAATTGCATTCTTTAACTTATTCTGCCTTAAAATTTTAAGGACAGAAGACACTTGCTGGCCTCATGACTTAGCTTCTGTAGTTGCTGACCTGATCAAGGCCTAGAAGGGCAACCTTTTCGTTTTGTCAATGGTTGGATGAATTTGTTGATTTCAGTTTCTATTTGTCCTTTTTTCACTGTTAAGCCTGCTTATTAGTTTCCACATCAGTCTGACATTTTTAAAATAGTTTTCATGAAAATGTATATGAAGTGTGTGGTTTAGACAAAGAATTACTCCTATTTAATGTATTAAAAACTAGATGAATTTGTTGATTTCAGTTTCTATTTGTCCTTTTTTCACCGTTAAGCCTGCTTATTAGTTTCCACATCAGTCTGACATTTTTAAAATAGTTTTCATGAAAATGTATATGAAGTGTGTGGTTTAGACAAAGAATTACTCCTATTTAATGTATTAAAAACTAGCACTTATGATAGCCTTATTATTCCTAAGATGGCACTGGATCACAGATGCTTGCTATCTGCTCAGATTCCAAATGGTCATAAAAACTGTGTTGCAGTTTAGCACCTTGTGCTGCCTGGGCAAAAATTGCTTATATCAGTGTTTCTCAACCTTGGCAGCTTGAAGATGGGTGGACTTCAACTCCCAGAATTC